GGCCCGCGCTGCGCATGCTCCGCCCCCGCGCGCCGCCGGCCTGCCTCGTTCGCCGTCGTGTGGAGATGGGCGGGTAGCGGGAGACGGCGCGAGGAGAACGCGTGCGCGGCGGCACGTGTCCTGGGCGATGGGGAGGAGGAGCGGCCGGGGTGTGAAGGACGCTAATGCGTTTGGGTGCTTTGCAGTGTCACGCTCGACTTCCGAGCGTCACCCTCCACCCAGGCGGGGTTTCCTTAGCTGTAAAGCGACGCGTGTGATCAGAGCGGGTGATGCTGCGGTGACTCCGGCCTTCCCCGAATGACAGTTCCACCGCCCCGACCCGAGCTCAGCGGGCTTTGGCCTCAGGTGTGAGGTCGGGCCTGTGACTCCGGGGCTGGGGGCCGGCTGGGCGAACCGGTTCAACTCGACCCAGTGGAGCGAACACAGCAGGGTGTGTTCTTGGGTAAGTGTAAAAACTGCATCTGGGGAGATTTCTCTTGGGTAAAAGTTGCAAAGCTCAAGTGCTATGTAAGTATTGGAGCAAAATTTAGTATGGAAATTTCATATGGAAATTTTTTTTTCCTTTTTGTCTTTTTTCGTGACCGGTAACGGGATCGTAACCCTCGGTGTTGCGCCCTCACCGCACTCAACCAGTGAGCGGACCAGTCTCTATATGGGATCCGAACCCTCAGCAGGAGCGCCACCACGCTCCCAAGTGCCGCACTCTACCAAGTGCGCCACCGGGCCGGCCCGATATGGAAATTTTGATTTAAGAGGAACAAAAGCAAAGTGCAGATATTAACAGACTTCAAAGACCCGAAGATGAAATGTTTCTTCTCTGGGGAGGGAGTAGAGGAGTAGCCTCTGAGAAGGAGGAGCAATTGCAGGCGCAAGGGGCATTGCTCAGCCAAGAGAGCAGGACCAAAGCATGGAGGAATGGAATGGCCTGGGAAATTCAGAAACCTGCAAGTAGTCTAGGGGCGGAACAGGTAGGTAGCAGAGGATTTCCTTGAAAGATGAAACTGGAGCAGGGACGCTGGAGACCAGATCGTGAAGAGTAATGTTAGGATTACTAAAGAGCTTATGCTTATCCTCATGGAAAGGCCTTGAGATCATTTTGACAGATCATTTTGTCTGCAGCTAGAGAAAAGATTGGAGAACGGCAAGACGGAGACCAGCTTAGGGAAACTAAATAGTAGTGGATATTAAAAGGAGAGATGGAATGTAAAGAATGTTTGCATTTTGAGGCAAAGAACTCTGGAGTGTTGTTTTTTCCTTTAATTTTACTTGAAAAAGAAGTAAATACACATGCTAGAAAATTCAGAGCATACAAAAAACTTGCAAAGTATATTTATTATGGATATTAAGGATGTAAGACTGTAGTGGGTTGAATAGTGTCCACCATAATTCATAACCGCCTGGAACATCACAATGTGACCTTTTTTGGCAGTAGGGTCTTTGTAGATGTAATTAGTTAGGATGAGGTCATACTGGATTAGAGTTGGTCCTAAATCTAATGACTGGTGTCCTTACAAGAGGAAAAGACACTCAGATGTATAGACACAGAGGGAACAAGGCCATGTGGAGATGAAGGCAAAGATTGGAGTTATGCAGCTGCATGCCAACGACTGCTGGGAGCCACCAGAGGCTAAGAAAAGGCAAGGAAGGATTATTCCAAAGAGCCTTCAGAAGCTTGGCCTTACCAACAACTGGATTTCAGACTTCTAGCCTCCAAAATAGAGAATAAATTTCTGTTGTTTTAAGCCACCCAGTTTGTGGTACTTTGTTATGGCAACCCCAGGAAACAGGGATCGAGGAGGAAAGTTTATAAAATTCTCTCAGGTCAAAATTTTTGATATGGGTCCACCAAGCACAGATTCCGTATTCAACATTTTATCTCGGGGCCGGCCCGGTGGCTCACTGCTACAGTGTGCCGCTTGGGAGCATGGTGGCGCTCCCGCCAAGGGTTCAGATCCCACATACAGACTGGTTCCCGCTCACTGGCTGAGCGAGGTACGGGCGTGACACCGAGGGTTGCGATCCCGTTGCCGGTCCCGGTCCGGTATGGGCGCGACACTGAGCGTTGCGATCCGTTGCCGGACACAAAAAAAGACAAAAAGGAAAAAAAAATTTTATCTCAAAGGGTTAGAAAAAGCTCCAACAGTATGTTTGGTTATCCTGAGTATTTCTTTTCCTATTATGCATGTTGAGCTGAGAAAATAACCAAGAATAGGTTTGGGGACACACTGGACCCACTGAGAAGGATGAGTGAAGGAAAATTCCATTGATCACTTAACCATCTACCCAAAAGTGCCTACTAGTAATGCAGTTGAAGTGCCAGAAGTGCCCAGGTATACTGTAGAGGAAAGTATCCAAAGGGTTGGGGAGATTGGAACATTAGAGTGGATTTATCATGTCAGACCTGCTCACCCACCCCAGGAGGGTTCAGAGAACATCATGAGTATGAGAGATGAACTTGTGAGGGAGCCCAGTATCCTTGAAGACAGCTGTGGTTGCTCTTCTCTGTAGTCATAGATATCTTCTGCTACCACCAAACTGGAATTCCTGAATGCAGTGGGGATAATGGGATCCCAGAGTGGCAGCAATCAAGGGGTGGCACTTAATTGCCAAAAATTGGTGGGCATGGTTACTGTAATGGCCAGCAGAGCCAAAGCAGTATTATCTCACTCATAGAGACCTGTTGCATTGGCTAGTTGATCATCATGTCCCTAGAAAAGAAATAGATGGGCAATCTACTAATTTTTTACTTGGTCTGTGTAAGCAGAACATTCTAGGTCTAGTAAACAGAAATCCTAACTTGCATCAACAAAATGGAGTCACAGCCCCTCAATCAATTCCCAGACTTGAGCCAGTTAAAACACACAGAGCTCTTTGAATGAAGGGGAGACCGGATCCTCTTAAGGATTTCGCTACATTGCCAAAAATGTACACAGTATTGTTAATCTTTTTCCATTCTTCCCCAAAAGGATCTATGGCCATCTTCCAGGGTGACTGTACATTGGGGGAAGGGAAATAGACTTTTCAGGGATTACTAGGTAATGGCTCTAACCTGACACTAATTCAAGGAAACCCAAAACATCACTGCGTCTACTGGTCAGAATGAGGGCTTAATGGAGGTCAAGTGATCAATGGAGTTTTAGCTCAGGTTCATCTCTCTCTAGACCCAGTGTGTCCCTGAACCCATCCTGCATAATTAAAATAGTCATAGTCAACAACTGGCAGAATCCTCACATTAGTTCCCTGGCCTGTAGAATTAAGGCTATTTTGGCAGGAAAGGCCAAATGGAAGCCATTAGAATTGCTTCTGCCTCTAAAAATAGTAAACCAAAAGCAATACCACATTCTTGGAGGGATTGCCAAGATTAGTGCCACTGTCAAAGACTTAAAAGTTGCAGAGGAGGTGATATCCACAATATCTTTTTTCAACTCACCTATCTCAACTCACCTATCTGGCATGTACAGAACACAGATGGAACTTGGAGAATGACAGTGGATTCTCATAAACCTAATTATGGGATAACTCCAGTACACTGCTATTTCACATGTGGTTTTACTGCTTCAGCAAATCAACACAACTCCTGGTACCAGGTATGCAGCTATTGATCTGGCAAATGCTTTCTCCTCTATACCTGTTGGAAAAAACCACTAGAAGGAATTTACTTTGAACTGGCAAGACCTTCAATACACTCTCCTGTCCTACCACAGGGACACATCAACTCTTTGGCCCTATGCCATAATTTAGTCCACAGCAACCTTGTTCACCTTCCCTTCCAAAGAGCTCATGCTGGTCTGTTACGTTGATGATATTATGCTGATTAGTCCTGGTGGGGATGGATCAGGAATTACCCTAGACATATTAGTGAGACATCTGCATGTCGGAGGACAGGAAATAAATCTCACAAAACTTCAGGGGCCTTCTACCTCAGTGAAATTTCTAGGGGTACAGTAGTGTGGGACATGTCAATATATCACTTCTATGGTAAAGGATAAGTTGTTGCATCTGGCTCTTCCTACAACCAAAGAAAAAGGTGCAATGTGGGAGAAGGGAAGGGAGGGCTCTACAACAAGTCCAGGCTATTGTGCAAGGTGCTCTGCCATTTGGGCCATATGATCCAGCAGATCCAATAGTGCTTGAAGTGTCCGTGGCAGATTTGGATGCTGTTTAGAGTCTTTGGCAGGCGCCCACAGGTGAATCACAACACAAACCCTTAAGATTCTGGAGCAAAGCCTACTCTGTGGATAACTACTCTCCTTTTGAGAAACAGCTTTTGGCTTGCTACTGGACCTTAGTAGAGACTGAACACTTAATCACAGGCCCCCAAGTTGCCATATGCCCTGAACTCCATGATAAATCAGGTTGATAGTAAATAACCTTAATATGATCCAATAAAAATCACACTGCATTCTGAATTTTCCTCCCCCAAACCCACAACCCCAGTCTAATTGGGAAATAAAACACGAGACAACTCCATTAGAGGGGCATTCTCCAAAATACTTGACCAGTACTCTTCAAAACTGTCAAGGTCATCAAAAACAAGAAAAGTCTGAGAAACTGTCACAGCCACAAGAAGCCTACGGAGACATGACAACTAAATGGAATATGGTATCCTGGATAGGATCCCGG